GCTCTTGCAGCCATACAATGCTACTGGGAATACCATCGCTTTTGTTGGCAGGGTGGTGTCTCTACTTTTTATTATGCTGTCTAGGTTTGCCATCACTTTCCTCCCAAGGAGCAAGCCAGCCACAATTAGGCATTTGGAAGTCTCACTGATTTCAGTGGGGCACCGGAGAGTTCATCCACAGCATGCATTTAATACTCTTTTCTCCATTTCCACTTAATGACCTGCTGTGGCTGGGGGATTTTTTGTGCTTGCCACCAGATCTCATGTACACATCGGGAAAAGAGGGACAAAGACCCAGCCCCAAAACAGAATTAGTTTACCACAAAGGTTGAAGGGAAACAATGGGAAAATCGATTAAACACAATCAGTGAAACAGGTGTTTGATTCATGTTTTATTCTGTGTGGCCAAATGGTGACATTATCAGTATTTTGTCAGACTGCTGGTTGATGGAAACATACACACCATGAGGAAATCAACTGCCAAAATTAGATATAATTTGCAGTCCTACATGTTAATATGCAAGCATGAAAAATAATGGAAAAAGAATCCATGATCCTAATAATATTATATCAACAATTGTTCCCTGTGTTTCTGTATTAGTGATGACTAAAGAAGGCCCATAGGACCGAAATGCAAGGATTCTTTGGGTCTTGTTTACAGTGTGCTTATTTGTATGTCATCAGCTTGTGGATATTTATATTATATAATGTACACAGATGTTGGACACAACTTGTGCCCCTGGCTGTGTTTTTCCCAACCCAATTTGAGAAACACACAAAAACAGTCCTGTGGAGGAGGAACACTAAAAAAAAATTATTAATAAAGGAAGAGTACAGATATCAAGGTCTGGAACCCCTGAATACCCAACAGACTCTTCGAGTGTGACAATGGGTGACATAAGATTTTATACTCAAGATGACACACACAAATAAAACAAGATTATTGGTTCCATCAAACATCAGCACTCTGACCTAACAGGTCTCTGATTGGTGGAAAACCTTTTAGGCTGGGTTTTCCGAAGTAAAGTTTTTTTCTTTTAGCCAGGGGTCATTTCGTAGAAAAAGAGGTGCAGGAGCTCATTAGCATAACTTATTTGCATATGCCACACACCCTGACATCACGGGGAGTGTGTCAGAAGGCAACACCCACCGCTCAGGCTCCACTGGACTGTTTTGGAGTGGTAGCTATTGGAGGGGGACATGCAGATCTGTCCTTGCAGAGGAGGTAGAGCTTGTACCTGAATAAAACTTGGTCTTAAAGGTGCCACTGGACTGTCTTCGACCGGGGGGAGCTCTGCAACTTACCTGGCTGCTTCTTGCTCTGACTGAGGGCTGCTGGGAGCAGGGGGTGGGGCTTGTTGCATGTGCCCACCCCCTGGGCTCATTACTGCCGGAGCTCCGCTCCTGTGCGTTCCTGCAGGAAATGACCCCTGCTTTTAGCTGAACAATAAGTGTTTCTTTCTCTTAGACTGTAAAATTCTAAAAGTATGTATATAGCTGATATGGTTTACAAGGTGCCATTGTTCTTTGTTTAGCCAGAGACATGCGCAGTTATAGCTGGCCTGCAAAGGCCATAAGCCTTAACAAAATTGCGGCATGTCAGCATCTCTATTCTCCCATCATACCTTTAAACAATAGCCATAAATGAACCCAGGGGTCCTTTCGTAGAAAAAGAGGTGCAGGAGCTCATTAGCATAGCTCATTTGCATAACTTATTTGCATATGTCGCACCCCCTGGTATCACCGGAAGTGTGTCAGGAGGCAACACCCGCTGCTCAGGCTCCACTGGACTGTTTTGGATTGATAGCTATTGGGGGGGGGGCACGCGCAGATCCTTGAGTTCCTCTTGGCCCGGGGCTGCTGGGAGCAGGGGGTGGGGCTTGTTGCATGTGCCCGCCCCCTGGGCTCTTTACTGCCGGAGCTCCGCTCCTGTGCGCTCCCGCAGGAAATGACCCCTGAATGAACCAAAGTTAATATCTGAATACATTCATGATTGATTTCTGTTTCAGTGGTTAGAATCATAAATGGCACTTAACATATGCATTATGGAAGTGCTAAGTGTACCTACTAAGTTAAACCTGTTAGTTAGCGACAGAGTACAAAGTGTATCATAAACTGTGTGTACAACACAGAGGACTACTCGGTCTGGTGGTTTCAAAGTCTAGGCCTGTGTTTTTAAATTTGTATTGTAAGTGCACTGTGAAATAAATTGATTTATCTTGTTCATTGTTACATTGATTCTGTGTCACGTTTGTGGTACCTAAGCACATATGCCTTCAGATAATAATGGGCCTTCTGTACTCCCTTTATAATAACCGTTCACGCCTTCTCCCAGTTTGTAGCCTTGTGCGTTTGTGTGCATCTGTGTTCCCTTTTCTGTCCAGCCTTCCTTCCTACCCAGGGCATAATCAAGTTGAACCCAGCGGCACCTTTAAGACCAACAAAGTATGTGTGTTTATACCTGGAAGAAAACTTGGTTGGTCTTAAAGGTGCCAGTGGACTCAGAGCTTGTTCTGGTGCTTCAGAGCAACACAGCTGCCCACCTGAATTTACCCAGGGCATGTAACACATCGTCTGGGTTGCCAATTTCCAAGCGGAGGTTATAACTGATCTCCGGATGACAGAGATCAGTTCCCTTGGAGAACAGGGCTGCTTTGGAGGATGGACTCTACAGCCTCACACCCATCCCTCCCTAGGAACTACAGCCAAATATTCAGGGATTCCCCAAACTGGAGTTGGCAACACTATGCATCTGGAAGTAGGGTTGCGAAACCCCCCGGTTTGCCAGGGGTCCCCCGTTTTTTGGGGGGGTCTACCCGCTGGCAGGGGAAGCCCCACCCCCAACACCCACAGCCACCCCTCTCTCTCCCTTTAAGTGTGTGGAACCCGTGTTTCCTCCCAAGCCTGATCTCCGCAAGCTTGCAGGGAAATGCCAGCTTCGTGCTCTTAAAAGGGAAACACAGCTGCTCTTAAAGGGGAAACGCCGGCTCCTGCATTTAAAAGGGAAACACCGGCTTCTTTAAGGGCAGGGAATTGCCGTTTCTGGAGATCTGGGTCAGGGGCGGGGGGGGCGGGCGGACGTCCCCAATGTGACGTCATCCCATGGGGATGCCTCGCCCCCTCCAGGAACACCCCCAAAGTTCCCCGTTCGGGGTGGAAGATGAACTTGGCAACCCTACCTGGAAGAAGAAGAAGAAGAGGAGATTGGATTTATATCCCACCTTTCACTACCTGAAGGTGTCTCAGAGCGGCTTACAAGCTCCTTTTCTTCCCCCTCCCCACAACAGACACCCTGTGAGGTGGGTGGGGCTGAGAGAGCTCTGACAGAAACGGCTCTTTTTTCAAGAACAGCTGTGCCAGAACTATGGCTAGCCCAAGGTCATCCAGCGGGTACAAGTGGAGGTGTGGGGAATCAAACCCGGTTCTCCCAGATTAGAGTCCGCGCACTTAACCACTACACCAAACTGGCTCACTCTACCAAGCCAATCTGCACTTTGTTGATCTTTAAGGTGCCGCCAGACGGACACATAACTTAGAAGTGCCTTGCCGCAGCTGGGTCGTGTCCTAAATGTGTTTTTATCTTGCATTCCTCCAGGGGTGGGGAGTGGCCATACCAAGAAGAAGCCAAGATCAAGCTGGGTAGCCATGTTAATCTGTAGCAGCAGGAAAAAACCCAATAATCCAATCGCACAAAGTTTGTGGCAGGCCCTGCGAGGCAATTTTTGTTCGGTTTTAAGGCGCCAGCAGGGACTCACGGAAGCTCCCCCCAAAACAACAACAACAACAACAACAAATCTTGTCAGTCCTTAAGGTGCTCCTGGACGGCTGCTCTGTCCTCCCGAGACAGGCCAGCCTGTCTGTCCTCCCGAGACATTGAACGCCGCTGGAACGGGAGGGCACACGGGGCCACTTATCAGTTGCCAGCAGGCAACCAACTCCACCCAGGGAGGAAGGGGGGGGATTGACCTCAGATGCCTGGGGGCGGAGTTCAGCAAGGTCTTGGGTGCCACCCTCCAGATGGGGCCTGGGGATCCCCCGGCATTCCAGCTCATCCTCTCCCCACGGCAGTGCTCAGTCCCCCTTGAGAAAAATGGATCCTTTGGAGGGGCAGATTAACCCTTAAGCAGACTAAGCACCTGCTTAGGGCACCCGGGCCAAAGGGGGCACCACAAAGTTGGGGGAAAGGGTGAAAAGCTTACTTTGTACAGTACATTGTGTTATCCTACGAATACATTTTTGTATTGCTGCAACCTGCATTGTATATCTGGCCAGACAGGTCAACCACAACTAAAAGGGACGGGGTCGGTGTCAGTGTTCCCTCTAAGCTGAGTTAGTGTGAGCTAGCTCACAGTTTTTTGCCTCCGGCTCACACATTTTTGCCTTGGCTCAGGAAGGAGGGCTCCAGAGCCAACTAATTTCTGCTGTAGCCAAATCACTCGCTCACAGCTTTAATGCCAGTAGCTCACAAAGTAGAAGTTTTGCTCACAAGACTCCACAGCTTAGAAGGAACATTGGTCGGTGTCAATGTTCCCTCTAAGCTGTGGAGTCTTGTGAGCAAAAATTCTAATTTCTGAGCTACTGGCATTGAAGTTGTGAGCGAGCGATTTGGCCCCTGCATAAATTAGTCTGCTCTGGAGCCATCCCTCCTGAGCTAGGACAAAAATGTGTGAGCCGGAGGCTTAGAGGGAACACTGTAAAGGAGGGGGGCACCAAGATTGTGCTGAGGGCACCCAGTGAGCCTTAATCCGCCTCTGCTCCTTTGGAGGGTGGGCTCTGCGGCACGGTGCCCCACTGAGGTCCCTGCCCTCCCCAGGCTCCACCCTAGATCTCCAGGAGTCGTCCGTCTGTGTGTCCCCCCCATGTTGGAAATCTAACGCCCCCATCCCCTGGCAACCCATTTTCCAGCAGCAGCAGCAAGCAAACGCCGGAGGAGGAGGAGGAGGAGGCGCCTGGGAAGCCCAGCCTGCGGAAGCCTGCCCCGGCCTTTGGTCTCCCCGCTGCGTGCGCTCCTTCTTCCTCCTCCTCCTGCCCTTTGCCGCGTTCCCGGGCCTCGCAGCCGGGCCAAGAAGACCATGGTGAGTTGCGCCGCGGGCCGCCTGCAGGAGGGCAGGACATGCGGGAAGCGGGCGGATCTGCAGGGAGAGGGGAGCCTTTTGCGCGCGGGGGCCCGGCGCGAGACGAAAGGGCCTCTGCAAGAAGCTGCTGCGGGCGGCCTCCCTGCGCAAGAAGCGCCCACGGCCACGGCTCGCTGGTGGATGAGGGCGCCTGGATCATGATCCTGCCCTGGAGGGGTAGTGTGGAGGGGGGGGGGCAGCGGCCAGGATGTGGTTTCCGAGCCCCCTCTGGGTCGAGAGCTGCTTGGATGGGGGCCAGCTGGGCCCCCGGGGGGGGAGAGAATGGAGGCGGAATGTTTTTGGAGGCAGGTGCGGGGGCGCGTAGGGAAAAGTTAGACAAGAGGCAGGGAACAGCAGCCTTATCGAGGGACTGGGTTTTTTTTGGGTGGGGGCGTAGGGTTGCCAGGACCCCCACCCTGGACACCGGCAAGGGGGTGAGGGCAATGCTCCCTCTAAGTTGTGGAGTCTGGTGAGCAAAAAGTCTACTTTGTGTGCTCCTGACATCAAAGTTGTGACTGAGTGCTTTGGAGACTGCATACATTAGTTTGCTCTGGAGCCCTCCTTCCTGAGCTAAGACGAAATTCTGTGAGCTGGAGGCTAAAAAACTGAGCTAGCTCACACTAACTCAGCTTAGAGGGAACACGGCTGCCCACCTGAATCACCTTTCTTATATGTCCCTCTCTCACCAGGTGCCTGAGCTGGAGAAAGCCACTGTCCAGATGAAAGATGCCGAACACGTGAAAGAGATTCTTTCAAGGCTGAGGAAAGGGGGAGCCGACCAACTTCAGGTGAAATGTGCATTATTGTGTCTTTATGCATTCCCACCTCAGTCGATTTTTGGTTTGCTTTCTATAAATTGGTTTTAGCAGCACAGAAGGACAGGGTGGAATTAGGTCTTTACCCACAAAGAGAGGGGAATAAAAACTAAACCAACCAAGCAAAAACCTCCAAAGGAAGTTTAGAAAACTAGTTAAGGGCCAGAAGTTAAAAACATCAATAGGTATAGACAAAAGTATATGTAAAAGTGCATAGAAAAACATTGTAGGGGCCCAAACAAAGCCTCATAAAATGTTCAAAGTGACAGCAGCACAACAAAGAACCATATATGACCGGACGCATTTCGGCCCACAAGAGCCTTCTTCAGATGTTAAACATGCAACATAGCCACTGTTACACTTGTAAGGCAGGAAAGAACTGAAATAGGACCAAAAATTGAATGTTCCAATCTGGAAATGAATGATACACACACACACAATAATTGTTTGTGAGGCCACAAATATTGACCTTCCAGCTTAGGCCCTAAAAGTACAAGTAAAATCGCCTTATCAGGGCCAGTGTGACATCAGTATATAACAAACATATTGATGTCACATTGTCCCTGATAAGGCAATTTTACTTGTACTCTTAGGGCTTAAGCTGGAAGGTCCATATTGGTACTGTTACTGTCTCCAATATATGCAGTTGCTTCAAACACAAGGCCAGATATATTTATGTATGTATGTTATGTAAAAAGTAAGCCTTTCTATTCTGGAGTCACTCCATTGGCTGCCCATCAGCTGCAGGGTTCAGTTCAAGGGACTGACTAGCCCTTCAGAGCCAGTTTGGTTAGGAGCACGGACTCTAATCTGGGAGAACCAGGTTTGATTCCCCACTCTTCCACATGCAGCTGCTGATGTGATGTGACCTTGAGTCAGTCTTCTAAGTCTAGGGACTCAGCCGGCCATGACGTTAAAAAGGAAACGAGGTCTGATTTCCCTTTTCCTTCTTCGAATTCAGGGAGGCCGCGAAATTTTAAGTGATTGGCGCGAAGTTGATTTTCAAGCGCCATAATACGGTCTGTCGCCCATTCCTCCCTTTTATAGAAAAACCGGGAGTCTTCTTGGAGTGTTATACTTGCCTCCAGTGCTGTCTCGGCTGTCTGTGAGACTTGCGAAAGCGCTGTTTTCAGTTCCGTCACTTGTTCAGTGATCGGTTTGATTAAGTCTTTCAAGGTGGCAGTGACATTATTTTCCAGCGCTTGGATCGTAGAGAAGAATTCGTTGCGCGAGACTGGCAAGCCTCCGTCTTGGAGATCAGGGTTGTCTGCCGCCATTTTGTCTGCGTTTGAAGGCTGGGAAGCCGCCGGAGATTTTTGAGAAGCGAAAAACGGCGGAATAGGTTGTTGTTTGGAGTTATGTTTAGATGTCTGGAGTCTTAGTGATCTTCCCATGCCTGAGCTGTAGTTAAAGCGGTGGAATTTTCGCTAAAAATGATGGATTTAGGAGGGTCGGGACGGAGCCGAGAGTTCAGGCGTCCATCACAGTCCTCTTCTTCTTCTTCTAAATAAAATCTTAGTGCCACAGGCACTGGAAGTGTGTACTGCAAAGGCTTAGCAGCTTGTCTTTCAGATGTGATCTTGGGGAGGTTTTGATTAATAGCAGGTGACCCTGGCGGGCAGGAGAGCAGAAAACCTAAGAGGGCCTGGCATTAGAGAAATGCAAGGAAGAGCCAGATAGAAGAAGTAGGAAGGGGTTCAACCAAGCTGGAACTCGGGGATACAAGACAGAGAGCACAGCAGCCAGCAATTCTTTTTAAAAAAAATTATTTTGAATTTTTTATTATAAGGGGTACAGAAAGAAAAAAGGTTATAGGGGGGGAAAACACTGAGGAAATATAATTACCAAAAACACAATGTGAGGGCAATTTTACAGATATTGAGGACAATCCTTTTTCAGAATATAAATGTCTATATAAAAAAGCGTATGGTATAACAGCTTAACAAATGTATAACACAATATCTGTGGTGTAATATATGACATATTAACTTCATATTAACATATTAACATAACATTAACATAACATAACATATTAACCTCAGATATTGAGGACAATCCTTTTTCAGAATATAAATGTCTATGTAAAAAGTGTATGGTATAACAACTTAACAAATGTGTAACACAATATCTGTTGTGTAATATATGACATATTAACTTAAGAAGTCTGTATAATGACCTACTCGGTATATTCTACCATTTTCTCTTACTGTATTATCATTTTTATTTTATCGATCTTACCTATTATATAGTATAACATAAATAACCTCATAGAAATTTTTATAAGATTTCATGCAACAGTTTGTTTTAATAAACAAGTACTATGCTTTCATTTCATATTATAACTGTCTTATAGTATTATCATATACTATTATTAAACCTTTCAGATGTATAACTAGAGAGATTGGTTATAATGGTCATAGGAAACTTGCCAGTTGTTTTCGAATTTATCTTTTGGTCTTTGGTTAATGTAGTTTGTCAGTTCTGCCATAACTGTTTTGCAGTTCTTCGTTGGGACCAATGCTCCCTCTAAGCTGTGGAGTCTTGTGAGCAAAAATTCTACTTTATGAGCTACTGGCATTAAAGTTGTGAGTGAGCGATCTGGCTACTGCATAAATTACTTTGCTCTGGAGCCCTCCTTCCTGAGCCGAGATAAAAATGTGTGAGCTGGAGGCTAAAAACTGAGCTAGCTCACACTAACTCAGCTTAGAGGGAACACTGGTTGGGACCCCAGAGTCAGTCTTTATAGAGAGTGGTTCCACATTTCTAGGCAGGACCCACAGGACAACCTCATTAAAAGCTTACAATTCACATGGGACAAAGCTAGGGTTGCCAACCTCTGGGTGGCACCTGGAGATCTCCTGCTGTTACAGTTGATCTCCAGGCTAGAGATCAGCTCCCCTGGAGAAAATGGATGCTTTGGAGGGTGGACTGGATGGCACTGTGCCCTGCTGAGGCCCCTCCCTCCCCAGGCCTGTAGCCACAGTGGGGCATTCCGGGGCCCGGCCCCCTGACTTCCTACCAAGGCCCCCTGACTTCTTTTCGGCCCTGGCCCCCTGGGCCCTCTGGCAAGATGCGGTGGCCACCGTGAACTCCCCCGTGCCGCTGTGGCTGCTCCTTCTCCTTGCCTTCCACCTGTGCCACACCTTTTCCCCCTGCAACGCACCAATCAAGTTAATTAAATTACATTTAATTGAATTAGCCATTGCCCCCTGAGGAATTTAAATGACTTAGAAATTCCTGGCTACGGGCCCGTCCATCCCCAACATCTCCTGGTTTTTCCTAACCCAGAGCTGGCAACCCCAAGGTAAAACTGTTGGTAACAGGTTCCATCTAGAATGCCACCAAGCCTAGGTCCTGCTCTCTACTGTTCCACAGGTTGGTTCTAAGCATTCTATTCAGCCTTAAAAATTATGTGATCCCTCTGGAATGTGGTTTGGTTCCATGATGTTGCAGAACAGTTGGGGGGTGGGTGGGTTATTGTAGTGCAGCAGACTTGATGAAGGGAGATCAGGGTTTGGGTCTAGTTACTGCCTGGGTGGGAGATGGTGTGGGAGCTGCCTGTATGCCATCGAGAGCGCCAGGAGAGAACGCCAGGATATTTGCATGGAATAAACAAAACACATGGGCACCAAACCTCCCAATTAAGTCAGGAAGCTGCCCGATCCCTCTTTCTTTCTTCCAGCTAAATTCTCTCTCTCAAAAAAAATAATAATACTGTTTATGAAACGCTTTTATTGTTATGTATAGAAATTATTGAAGCATACGGAAAACATGAATGAGACAACAATTCAATGATAAACAGAGAACAAGTAGTAAAATGGGTAACTCCTGTGGCACAGATGAGCATAATTCAGTCAGTGGGCAATTATGTGGTAACGTCATATAGAATTTGAACGAATGAAGTATTTAAAATACTTAACATTTGGCCACTTAATAAATAATGCTTAGATCTTTTGTAGATTTGCTGTGCAGTTTTCCTAGTGAATTCAGCGTTTGTGAAGTTAGTTGTGTGAGGTAGACTATCAGGAATTTTGAGCGGAAGAGTAAGTTTGTCCAGGATCAAATGGTCCCACATCTGAAGACATGATTTTTTAATTGTAGGTAATTTTGTTTTCTTCCAAAATGCCTCCAGGTAATTTCTGATTTTGACATGACTCTAACTCGGTTTGGGTTCAACGGACAGCGCTGCCCTACCTCTTACAGTGAGTCTGAATTCCGGCTTCTGCTTCTTTTGCAGGTTCCCAGCTTAACTCCCTTCCCTCCATCTAACACGTTCTCCTCCGTTGGTCTTCATTTCTCTCCTGTTTCCCTCCTGCAAACTAACTGGGTTTCACTTCGGTGACTTCCTCTCCTGTAAACATCTTGTAATTATTACTGTTATTTCAGTGTGTGCTTCTTTCATGACCCCTTACCCGTCACCCTAACATTTGTGTCTCTTCTAGAGACACAGTGTGGAACTGTGGTTAAGAACAGGGGCTAAAACTCACCTGTCCCTACTAGGTCAGTGGAAGGCTTCATGGAGCCTTTGAGATGCTGCATAAAAATGTAAGAGTAGACAGACTGGGTGAGACTGCTGTCTCACGGGCTGGGGTGCCAGTCAAAGGGAGTCCAGAACAGGCCAAGGTCAGAAACCAAGAAGACAGTGCAAAGTCCAAAAAGCCAAGCTGCTGTCAGGAGCCAGAAACACAGAGCCAAGTCCAAAATCACTAACCAGAAACGTAGTCCAAAGCCAAGCCAAACCGGGGTCAGGAGCCAGGAACACAGAGCCAAGTCCAAAGCCAGGGGTCTGAAGGTCTAGGTGCAAGAGCTGAGCTGGAGTGGATGCTAACAGCACAAAGATGACTTGTTGCTTCCACGAAGGGTACTGCCCAGAGTGAGGAGTTAAATGCTGCTACCAATTAGCCAGCTGCCTGATCGGCCAGGCTCCTGTTAGAACTCTGGGCTAGCCGAGCGTCTCCCTTGTAGCCTGGCCTCTCTTCGCCTGGTTGCTAAGTTTTGCCGCAGTCGCTCCCTTAAACGAGTCACACGTGGGGGTGACTCAGGAGGACTTTTAGCTTGCAGTTCTTCCTTCTTATCTGGGAGAGGTGTGAAGACTGCTATTACAGGCACTTGCCAGCGATCCTCCTCTGCTGCTTCAGAGGGGCCAGCTGTGGTTTCTGCAGGCTCTGTCAGCCCATCCTCATCCATGCCCATGACACTGGTGGTCCATCTAGATCTGTGGAATCTCAGGAACCTCTGTTGGAAGCAGCAGCCTGGACTAGATGGACCACCGGTCTGACCCAGCCTGACTAGTTTTACGTCCTTAACACAGCATATCACAGGCTTCTTCTGAACTGGACGATAGCCCTCCCTTTCTGAATGCTCCCCAACTCCTAAGCATTAGAGTCATTCTGTCTGTGATCTCGGAGACCCTGTTCAGCTATCATGGTTCATAGCTAGCCATAGACCTGCCCTCCATAACTTAATCCATCACCCCGTCCCTTAGAATAAATCTAAGCCAGTGCCCCCCACTGCTCTCAAGGCTGTGAGTTCCACAAGTCAACTGTCCGTTGGGAAGTGCTTCCTTTTGCTTGCCTTCAATCTACTGCCGGCCTGTTTCACAGGGTGACCTCTGAGTCCCAGTATCCCAAGAGAGGGAGTGAAGTTTCTCTGTACCTGCTTTCCCTGCCTCCTGCATGATTTCATTGGCCTCTGTCTTGTCAGCCTTCGGGCACCTTCTTTTTCTAAGCGAAAAAGCCCCAGATCCCTTGCCTCCAGTCCTATAAATCGTTTTGGTTGATATTTTCTGCACCTTTCCCAGCTCTTTGGGAGATGCAGCCACCAGGACCGTATGTTGTACTCCCAAGAGTGCAATCACATGCAGAATTAGCCGCGCCATAGGCACGAATGCTGGGCGGATGTTAAGGGTGCAGTCAGACGCAAACATCTGGGAAGCATCCCGCACCCGTCGGCAACCCAGGAATGGGCTTCCCACTGTGTGATCGCGCCAGCGCGTTCTCATGGCGTCGGGATGGTCTGATTGGGCCATCCCAACTCCATGCCGTTGTCCCCCCCCCCCCTTCCGTGTTCCCCCCCCCCCCCCCCGGTTTTGGTATGTGCATCATTGCACACTGCATGGGGAGCACTCGGTGCGGAGATGTGAATCATCGATCCCATGTTGAAGTGCACCGAAAACACGCAGCAAACCCCTCCCCCCGGATTCATCCGTGGTTGCGTCTGATCACGCAGTGGCGGGCTGCCTCCGCAGCTCCCAGGGACTGTGTGCTTACGTAAATGCGGGTCAAATTCCTGCGGAGCAAATAGCTTCGTCCCCCCCCCCCCCCCCCCCGCCCGCATTATCTCGCGCGTGCGAACACAACCCAAATCAGTCTGCACCAGGAACTTGTATAAAGGCATTACTATACTGGCACTTTTAATGGCGCAGAATATGTTATCACAGCACCGTTGTAGGCATTAAGCATTTGGTGTGTGTCAGAAGCCACCTGGTATTGGAAATTGTCATCGGAGGCCCTTCTCTAGGTGTTTCCTGCCTTTGGAAATTACAATGTCTACTGGAGAAAGGCAGTCATACACATTGGGGGGGGGGTCCCTCCGGAGGTCTAGTTTCCATTGATCAACGAACAGAAGTCTGTCCTCCCCCCCCCCCCCAATTTTTTTTTTAATTTGCCCTGAGCTCAGTAGCCGGCGTTATTTTATTGTTTTTATTTATTATGTTTTTCTGTTCTGCTTTGAATGCCAATTGGGCTGAAAGGTGGGAAATGTTTTAAAAATAATAATAAACATAGCTCATGCTTTCAGAGGAGCCACATTTATATTCCAAGAAAAGCTGAAGACTGATCTGTACAAATTAAGCAGGCAGGCAAATCTGCACAGTTTCGCAGAACTTATATGTATCTGAAGAAGTGTGCCTGAATTAAACTTCGTTGGTCTTCAAGGTGCCACCGGACTCAAACTTTGTTCTGCTGCTTCAGACCAACACGGCTGCCCCCACCTGAATTTATTCTGCTTCTGTTATTCCTGGAGAAGGACAAAGACGTGTGTGTGTGTGTGTGTGTGAAATTTCATCCCCTGCCTTCTGAAAACCTGCCATGCTCAGCATACCCCCCCCCCACTCCTCAACCCATGGGGTTTGAGATGCTATTGACATTGCCCAAGACTTCTGAGTTCATCATCTTATCCTTGAAGGCTGGAAACTTGCTTTTTAAACAACAAATGAGTAAGCACAGAACCACACTATGATGGCTGCTGTGCCAAAATACCACGTTTGGGGCTTGCATAGAACCGTACCGTCCCCTTGGAAATTCCTCGTGCTTCCAAAGAAAGTCTAAACTAGAAATTGTCCTCTGGGGGTAGGGGTGTGTGTGGACTTCCAAAACGGACATTCTTATTTGTTTATTTGTTTATTTATTTGCCTCCCCAGATATTATAGATAACAGCCGGGTCATCAGTGAAGAAGGCAAGAAAAAGGTAGGAGTTTCTATCTTTGGTTTTACACGCGCGCACATACGCGCACACACTTGATATACCAAACTGTCAAGTTCCCCTCACCATTGTTGCCAGGAGCCCTGGGAATTGTAGTTTTTGTGAAGGGACTCACCCCATACAGGATATTGCCTTGGGCAAGGTAGATGGGTGCTTTATATGAACCAAAAGGTGAATGCATGAAGTTGCCTTATACTGAATCAGACCCTTGGTCCATCAAGGTCTGCTCAGACTGGCAGCTGCTCTCCCGGGTCTCAGGCAGAGGTCTTTCTCATCACCTGCTGCCTGGTCCTTTTTAACTGGAGATGGTGGGGATTGAACCTGGGACCTTCTGTGTGCCAAGCAGATGCTCTGCCACTGAGCCACAATGGAGGGAAGGTGTTAAAGATGCTTTAAATAAGTAAATACAATTCTCCATGCCCTTACAAAACTACGATCCCAGAGTTCCTTGAAGGCAGGCACGCCAATTTCAAACTAGCTTTAAGGTGTGCTTGCTAGAAATTGGCCAGTGTAGGAAAGGACTGTTGGTTGAAGTGAGCGAGCAAAGTGGAGTATGTGTAATTTTGGTCTTTTGGGAAATAGTAACAACACTGCCGGGCTTAGCATTATAGAGGTACATTGCTGGTTGAATCAAGGTAAAGTTTCTACAGGCAGAACTTTTCCTTCAGCTTTCTGTGAACACCCTGCAAGCACAAGGGCTCTGCAGTTGTGTCCCCATCCCCACAGAATAGCTAGTAGAGGCACTAGTGCAGGGTTCCTGAGAATGGCGCCCTTGGGTGCCACGGTGCCCACCAGCAGCTTTTCTGGTGCCCATAGCATTGCCAGGTCCTACCTGGCTGCCAGCGGGGTGGGGGGTCCCTATCCATGTCCTGGAGTCTTTTGGCATGTGCGCAAAGCGTGCATGCTGCAATGACGTCACCCAGTAGTGACGTCATCGTGCACGCCACGTTGCAGGCAGACACTCTATCATTTGAGAAAAAACTCTGTGGTAACCATAGAGTATTTTCCCTCAAACGCTAGAGCATCCCCCCCCCAACATGCCCTCATTGTGCCAGGCACGTTGGTGCAGATGGGACTCGTTGGGGGCGGGGTTTCCCCACGGCCAGCTTGGTGGTAGCAGATTGGGGCCTTGAAAGTAGGTAAACCCCTGCCCCCGTTGAGGGAATGGCAACCCTAAGTGCCCACCAAAAGTTTTTAGAAAGTGGGCGTGGCCAGGTGGGGCTTTTGCCTAGCATGGGTTCTGATCGGTTGCTGGAAATTTGATGGGTTGTGCAGCTTTTTAAAAATGTCTCTTTGGCAGCAGCTGCCCCCGCAGCACAAAGATCTCCACTGTGTGACTGAAAGTAAGCCGTGGCGGCCATTTTGTGGCTGGCGTCGGCTCCCGTGGCAGCCATTTTGCGGCTGCACCTCCACATTGTGTCAGAATTCCAAAAGTGCCCACAGGGCCAGAAATGTTGGGGACCCTCTTTACTAGTAGGTCATCTTGAGCCGGAAACCCCTAAGGACTGAAACACCCAACTGGGCCAACTCTCTCTGTGAAAGTGTGCAGCCTTTTCTTCTTTTTTAAGCTGGGTTTCCCCCCTTCCTTTTTGTTTGTTCTGGCCGATATTCCAGCTAAAAGATATGCTTCACTATTACTATCCAATTGAAATCGACCCCTACCGGACTGTGGAGGATAAGCTGCCCCACATGATAGAATGGTGAGTATTTATGTTCGAGGAGGTGACTCAGTTTTTTGGGGAGGAGGGGTGTTAATTTTTTCCACTACAGAAACTCCCTGACTACCAGAGGCTGGAGGAGGATTGGAGCACATGAAGTACAGCTTGACCTGGAACTGGTCGGATCTAGAGATGTAAAATTTCCGGAAATTTTGAAGCTCGGAAAAATACCTGGTTTTTTTCCGTTTCCCCCCGGAAAAAAACAGAAATTTTTGGAAAAATTGAAAAAAATGCTACATTAACATTTCTTTTGTCTTTTCTAGATTGAAAGTCATTCTGTTAATTTAGGAACATAAAATATGAGTATGGACATTTTTACTTGACATGAAATTATCACAACTAGCATATTAAAAATATAGTATATCCAAACAATTATTACAAACAGAATACCCTCCCACATGCAAAAACAAAACTGAAACTTTTTTATTTTCTTCTGAAAATCACACCTCCTAAAGGAAGAAATGCATCTTGTTCTTGCATTGGAGAGTTCTGTTTGTAACCTAGGACTTGCTTGTCCTCAGTGCACAGAAATTAGATCAATCTGATACCATATATATATATTTTAGAAATTATTTGGAAAATATTTGAACACTTTGTCTTAAAATATTTTATTCATCATGTTAAAATAAAACGTTCCATAGTCATTTTTTTTTCCTTTTTTCAATTTTTCCAATTTTCCGGGAAAAAACAAAGACTTCAGGAAAAAAATGGGAAAAAACCGTTTCCCCCCCGAATTTTTCCGGGTTTTTTCCGGGCCTTCACATCTCTAGTGAGGTCTCAGTAAGTGTGCCCGCTAAAGGGTCAGCTCTCACGGACTGAGGATTGCTGGGTGCATAGCTGAGATGTCAGCGAAATTGTTCCCAAACTCTGTGGGCACTAGCTCGCGGTATGAAAAGCTGCTGGCACGCAAGGAGAAGCTCATGTAAGTCCAAAGGACCACCCTGAGAGCCCCCTAGCTGTCTGTTGCATCTCTGGCTGAATAACTGCTCTGGCCTTGTCTTCTTCCAGCCGGCCTCCACTGTGGGTTAGTCATTTGGGGTGTATTTCTGTATTGGGTGAGATTGGACTGTTCAGTCATTTCCGATACAGAGATTCAGCTGAATTATCTGTCTTCAGAGGAGGATGCCTAGAACAAGAACTCGTTTGGAAGCACATGGGTGAGCTTCCCCGAAAGGGGCTGATTTAAAAGTATGTTCTTTCAGGTTTAAGAGGTGAAGTGTGAGTCAGGGCAGAATTATATTTCTAGAAGCCCTGACTAGGGTGGGAGGAAACGGCGGAAGTTACGAGAGGCAGAGGCCTGCGAGGTGGAACATGGATGTGTACAAAAGATCCTGGAAATATTTATTGGCTCGGGACAACAGTTTTTTAATGTCTGGGGGCCCAAGTGTTGGTGCACTTAGGCTGCGGTCACACACACTAAATGAATCCACTTTCCAACTGGATCTTGCCAGTTCACACAGTAAAGTCCACTTGGGAAGTGCACTGAAAGCAGATCGAACGTTAGTGTGCTGGAATCAAACTGAGGCGATCCATGTTCAACTGTAAAGCTAACTGACCTTAGGCCTGGCAGTCTCTCAGCCTCATCTCTCTCACAAAGGTTGTGTGAATAAAAAAGACTGGGGGGGGGGGGATGGTGTGATAAGAATATGATAGATAGACTGGAAATTCCCCCACCTCATCCAGAGCCAGCTTCTGTCAAGCTGGACCTAGCACAGGGTGAAGCACAGGGAAAACCAAAAACGGTCTCCTTGAAGTGTGCAGGTCTGCCTTGAAACTTTGTGTGCGGTCAGAGCCTGATGGGACCTGGTCTGGGCTGTTATTGCTAAGAGTCTTCCTGTGTTCCCTCATTTGGTTTAGAGCGGAGTGGTGGCACTCTTGCGGGCCTCAGGTATTAGGACCTTGGCTCCTGAAATGGGACTCCTGGGCTGTGGTACGGAAAAGCCTTGCCAGGCCAAACTGCACTACAGGAAGCGTGCCAGGCCTAATAGGCAGAGCTTATTAACCCAGGGATTTTTGACACTGTGCTTCTGGACCAGGTGAAATTGGGGACTGGGCCAGAACTAGTCAAACTCTGGTGTTAAGATGCACATCTTCCCTTTATCTCACGGTAGTGTGCGGGATTGTGACCCTGTTGAGATTTACCCAAAGCAGGTGGGTAAATGCAATAAAATCATAAAAACAAGCCAGGGGCATAGAAACCAGATAAGACGACATTCAGCAGGCTAAAATGATAGCCAGCCTATGGCAACCTCTTACCCTTTCCTTCAGAAAAACACCTTGGTAAAATTGTCTACTCTGCCTTTCTTCTGTCTCCTGGAAAAAAAATCAGATTAATACACATAACTATCGTGATGCTATTTTTTTAACGAATGTATTACTGTGGGGTTTGTAGTAACGGATGCTTCTGTGAATGAGCACAAAGTAAAACAATTTTTATTAAAAAAAACACTTGTGGGCGACGGGGATTTCTTCCAGGTGGACAAAGGCTCACAGTCTCCTGTCCCAGCAGAAGATTCTGAAGAGTGACATTGCCCAGATAGTGAAGGAGTCGGATGTTATGCTCAGGTATAACGTGGAGGGGGGCAGCTTTTTGTGAGGTTATTCTTCCTTTACACAGACCCTTCCCAAATACCTATGCCTAAAATAAATAACAGTCCCGGTCACATGTACCGGAAAATGCGGGGGGGAAGCATGGCTATTTGTACTGCGATCATTTGACCTGCCACAACGGTGGGTGAAGCAGGTGTTTTTCCTTGCAGCCTGCTTCCTGTGAGCGCGGCGGTGCGATCACACCGGCAACTCCGTCTTCCGCCCGTCGCAACCTCTTTGATAGTGGATTTTCTTTGGTGTTTTTTTACTCCGCTTCTTCGGCTGACTGCTACGGGTTGCTGATGGGTGCCGGATGCTTGCCAGATGTGTCGGTGTGATCGCACCCGTAAAATCCGTGAGTATTGTGGGGCAAATTCTGTGTGTGATCGGGGCCAACCAGTCCTATGTATGGAAGTTTGCTGATTTTATGCATAGAAATGCTTTGTGGGGCCAGGGGAGTGGGGTGGGGGAAGGAGGGGTAAGAGGAAATCAGGGTTGGAAAGCATAAGGCAGGAGGGCCCAGCCTTCTTAAGTCTGCGGGCACATTTGGGATTCTGACACGGCATGGTGGGCGCAGCAGCAAAATGGCTGCCGCAGGAGGCAGATTCAGCCACAAAATGGCTGCCGCAGCTTAACTTCAGTCACCCAGTGCAGACCCTTGTGCCGTGGTGGCAGCTGCCGCCAAAGCGACGTTTTAAAAAATCTGCACGGCCGATCCAATCTTCAAGAGTCGATCAGAAGCCGTGCTGGGCTTTTAGTCCTTATAAGTTGAGGAAGAGACTGGACAAGAAGAAGTGTAGGCTGAAGGACTCTGAATTGTGCCTTTGGAAAATTTTGAATTGAGATGCTTTGGGGTATTTCCTGATATCAGTTAAATTTAAGATGTGGGGAAAGTTAACAGACTATGTGACTCAGTTTGTAATGAGATTAATATGATTAAGACTAGATGTGTATTTAAGCTGATTAGAAGATCTCCTCTCTTGGGTTTTTAGTCAGTAGTGGGTATCTTTTCTTTATCCCCTTAAATGTAGTCCCCTTCCTTATTTCTGTTATAGTATGTAGTTTTAATAAAAATGCAATTAAAAAATCCCCTTCGGGGAGAGAAAAAAAGAAGAAGCCGTGCTGGGTAAAATCCCTACCTGGCCCCATTCCCTTTCTAAAAATGTTTGGCGAGTACCAGAAAAGGTGTTGGCGGGTGCCATGGTGCCCACGAGCACCATGTTGGGGACCCCGGCCATAGGGCCTTAACAGGTAGCCCAGGCTTGAAATGTTGTTGACCATCGCAAAACAAAAAGGTCAGTTCTCATGGTAATTATATAGCCTGTGAGGTAAAAGAAGAAGAAGAAGAGATTGGATTTATACCCCCCCCCCTTCACTACCCGAAGGAGTCTCAGAGCGGCTTACAAACTCCTTTCCCTTCCCCTCCCCACCACAGACGCCCTGTGAGGTAAAAGAAGAAGAAGAGATTGGATTTATATTCTGCCCTTCACTACCCAAAGGTGTCTCAGAGGTGCTTACAATCTCCTATCCCTTCCCCTCCCCACCACAGACACCCTGTGAGGTAGGTGGGGCTGAGAGAGCTCTTGACAGAAACTGCTCCTTTTTCAAGAACAGCTCTTATCAGAACTACGGCTTGCCCAAGGTCATCCAGCCAGGTGCAAGTGGAGGAGTGGGGAATCAAACCCGGTTCTCCCAGATTAGAGTCCGCGCACTTAACCACCACACCAAACTATAGGATTACTCCTGAGGAAGATTAGGACGAAATGAGTTTATATCCGGATGCTCATTGAGAATGATGGACCTGTAATATTGCCAAGTTTTACAATATAACATGATTCTTACTTAACATGTGTTGTCATCTATATCACAGTGTTTGCTTTTTTGTTGCACCACCTAAAGGCCGGCAACCCTCTCTCTCAACCCATTGCCTCTGGCCTTCTTGGTTGTTTCACATAAAGTGAGAATGGTGGTCTTATTGGACGGCTGGCCCTTTGGGGCCCCAGGAAATGCTTGACCTCGCCACCCCCTAGAGTCAGCCCTTGTGCATTCCAGCCAAGTACTTCATTCCTTCTTTTTCCTGCCTCCAGAGATGGCGTCAATCTTTTCTTCGACCAGCTGTACCAGAGCCGGGTTCCCTTGTTCATCTTCTCTGCCGGCGTGGGCGACGTGCTAGAAGAGATCATCCGCCAGGCCGGCGTGTTCCACCCCAATGTCCACGTGGTCTCCAACTATATGGACTTTGATGAGCATGTGAGTCGAGCCTGGATCTTTGCCAGTCCTCCCTGGCAGCTCCCAGCGGGGGGCACTCTAAGACAGATGGGGGGAATTTCTGAACCCCTCTTGTCCATGCTCACTCACTGGGCATTCAGGTGAAATGGGTAGAACATTGCTGGAATAGGCAGTTCTCCCGATCAGGGATGGTTTGTTCTTCTTGTTGTTACTGCGGTCAAGATGGGTAGCTGTGTTAGTCTGTCTGTCTGTCTGTCTGTCTGTCTGTCTGTCTGTCTGTCTGTCTGTCTGTCTGTCTGTCTGTCTGTCTGTCTGTCTGTCTGTCTGTCTGTCTGTCTGTCTGTCTGTCTGTCTGTCTGTCTGTCTGTCTGTCTGTCTGTCTGTCTGTGGCAGTAGAAAAGAGCAAGAGTCCAGGAGCGCCTGAAAGACTTAACAAAAAAGAGCAAGAGTCCAGGAGCGCCTGAAAGACTTAACAACATTTGTGGCAGGGGATTATTATTTATTAAGCTTCTATACCGCCCTCCAGGGGTCATTTCGTGGAAAAAGAGGTGCAGGAGCTCATTAGCATAACGTATTTGCATATGCCACACCCCCTGGCATCACCGGAAGTGTGTCAGAAGGCAACACCCACCGTTCAGGCTCCACTGGACTGTTTTGGATTGCTAGCTGTGGAGGGGGGGGAACATGCAGATCCTGTACCGGAATAAAACTTGGTCTTAAAGGTGCCACTGGACTGTTTTGGACCGGGGG